TGCTTACATACATAGGGTTTCTCTCCAGTGTGAATCCTTTCATGTATTTTATAATACCTCTGTGTACTGAATACTTTACCACACTGCTTACATACATAGGGTCTCCCCACCCTGTGATTTCTTTCATGGATCTGAATGTCACTGGGTGAGCTGGAGGCATTCAAATTTTTCTTACATATAAAGGTCTTCTCTCTAAGGTGAGTTCTTTCACTAGCACCAGAGCAGGATTTCCCACATGGATCATGTTCATATGGTTTCTTTTCAGCCTTTGTCCTTGCAAGATTCTGAAAGGACTGGAAATCACCATGGTTTCTTCCATTTTCATTACATTTATACAGCTTCTCTTCAGATCCTAAATACTCATCTGGTTTCAGTGCAGTGCGAGCTCTGATGGGCACATTTAGTGACAAATGCCCAATGAGGGGCTTTCTACAAGCAAGTCTTTCAATTGGTTTGAAACCAGATTGTTTCATGTAGACATTAGCATCTGGAGTCCAAAGGAATTTTTCTTTATATTGATTCCAAGCTTTATATTGATAGCATTTCTCCACCTCTTCATTTCTGTAAAAAAAAAAAAAAAACCAAGTCACAATAAAATGGGTCTTTATATTAATGATTTACCAGAACACATTCTCTTTTCATGCCTGCTAAGAAATTTGACAATGAATTAAATGAATGTGCAGGATAATATTTTCAAAACAGCCATTCCCTAAAGAGTAGAGTTTATGTGGGAATTTTTAAGTCGGTATATTTTGTAATAGAATAATTTTAGTTTTATTTTGGGCAATTTGTACATATGTGTATCACACACTGATTATTTTTTGTTTTTCCCCATTACTCTTCACCTTCTACTCTTACCCTGTTTGTCTTTCTCATCTCTAAAATGTCAGACTTTCCTTTGTCTATCACCTCTCATATACATCTATACAAAATACCTAAATGCAATTTCATACATATTCACAATGTTGCCCATACAAGAACATTTTTATATTATATATCAGATAGTGTCACTTGTACGATTTCAGTTCTAATTTAGTTTCTTATATTGGAATACTTTTGTATTTAGTTGTCAGATGATGCATACTCAAGCTGTGTACATTTTTGGAGAGTATTTGTGAAGTTAAAAAAATTTGAACATGGCCTAAGTTTTTTTATTGTCATCTTTAATGTGAACTCATAAGGAACATTCCCTTTCCTTGTGAGTGTAAATTACCTTAGATTTCTCCAGTAGTTATTGTACTCTTCTTCCACTTCCTGGTTATCCAAGTGTCTCCCTGAATTACAGACAAAGAAATGTAAGGAGTTACTACATTGTTACATAAAAATTAATAGATTCTAATTAGATTCATGATATAATCTAACCAGGCCTGAGATACTTTTCATATTGTTTTCACAATCTATTTAATGAAACTGCACTGAGGAGCAACAACCAATATTCTCTGACTGTATAAATAAGAAATAGATGTCATCCTTACCTATAGCAGCAATGTTCCTCAAGGTTTCCCCCATCACATCTCTGTAGAGCTTCTTTTGAGATGGATTCAGTAAAGTCCACTCCTCCACAGTGAAGTTCACAGCCACATCCTCAAAAGTTACTGAGTCCTAAAGGATCATACATGTATTTCTTAAAGGAAAGTTGAGACTCACAACTTGGGATATCTCAATATCATAAAACCTGTAATTGGGAGCCAAGTATGTTGGTACATATCTGCAATCCCAGCACTCAGGAGGCTGAGGCAGGAGGATCACAATGAGTTCAAGACCATTGTGGGTTACACTGTAAATTCAAGGTCAGCCTGAGCTATATAGCGTGACTCTGACTCAAAAAATAACACAAAATGAAACAAAAAACCTGCTTCAAAGTGCCTTAGGATAGAAAGGGATAGACATATCCCTTTTTTATAAAACATACAACTAACCTCAAATTCACAGACACTTCTCTAGAGGAAGAAGCCTCCAAGGATGTCTTTCAAAACGACCCTACATATTCCAAATGGTAAAGATTACAACATTTTTGACATAAAAAGAAATCCACTTTCAAAATTTAGCCAGCATAGAGCTCATTCTTTAATTTCACACAGAAATTTTCAGAGGAAAATTCCTGGCTCAAGAGCTAATTATGCCACCCATCATCATCGTTCACTGCTTTCCCAGGTTGTATGTACTTCCTGTGCTCCTCCCTATACAGAGCGCCATTTTATACCTAATTATTGAATGCCTACAGACCTACACTTAGTACATCCCACCTGCTGCAATACTGCTTTTATTCATTGTCCTACCTCACTCAGCATATCATTTTTTTTGAGACAGGGCATTACCTTATAGATAAGACTAGACTTGAACTTATTATGTTGCTCAGGGTGAAACTGAACACCCAACAATCCTCCTGACTCAGCCTACTGAGTACTAGGATTACAGGCATGTGACATCACATCCAGCTAGTATTTCATTTTTTAAAACAATATATACAAACTATCCATGAACTGTAGCAATTATGTGAGAGATGGTGCTTTTCTATCTTTGCATCCATACACAAATTATATGAAGATGCCCTACTTCAAGGAGATTCAAAGTTTCTGCTGAACATTCAGCCCCTTCTGGAAGTTGTCCTTTACAGCATTATTTTCATTCTTCCTTTTTTCATTGATGATTTCCTGTCCAATTTCTGGCATACTAAACCACAAGAAACTTATTTATTGCATTGGTCTGGCGATAACACAGAGTTGAAGCAAACTTGGCCATGTCTCTAACACTGTGCCTTATCACAGGGAATGTTAAACATTTCTTCTAATTTTATGGCATTTAAAAAAAACTACAGTAACTTTGGAATTGTGGAGAAATGTTTGGAAATTATGGAATTTACTATCAGCACAAGCACATCCAAACTGGATGTTACAACTTAGTGTTTGGGACCCTGTGGGAGACTGCCAAGTGGAATTGCACTGAGAAATACAGCCCCTTGCCTTCATCTTCATGTGACCTTTACTTCAACCCTATTCACAGAGATATTTAAAGCTGGCTATATAGAAGCAGATGTACCCTTAATTGGCAAAAAGAATGTGATCAAGTCCTGCTGAGGTGCCAATATGTCTCAGGATGTTAAAGCAGCAGCACACAAGTGGGAACAAGTCCCCTGCTGACAGCTGGAATGGAGGTTCCAGTAAAAGCCTGTGAGATTCCAGGGCTAAAACATGAGATAATATCCCAGCTGAGGCCATGGGACTCAGAATTATACCTTCCTGGCAGTAAAAGTGCCAGCCTTTCATACATCAAGTTATCTGTTGCACCACTAGTTGGGGGGCCTCTGTGCCTGGTTGGAGAATGCTTTGTTCTGTTACAAGCCATGCCTGTAAAGTTTTTCTTCCACGCACTGTGCCATGACCCCAAGCCACCCTCCCCAATTAGTGCCAATAAAAGCCTTGGGCACTCTGACTCTTGACCCTTTGTTCCACCAAGAGCAACTGGTCATCCTGGAGCCCTAGGAACAGCAAATTTTTCCCCTCTTTGTCTTTTTCCATCCATGTGCCACACCGCTCGGTGGGAGACTAAACATTGTACAGGGGTTTCAGTAGGACATTTTATCTAAACTTTTAACAAATTTAGCATACTGTAATTGTCATAGTTACTCTCCTTTTACTGAGACAAAATATCACACACCCGCAGTTTAGAGGAGTTTATATTGGCTCACAAATTCAGATCATGGTCTAGTGGATCCAAGGTCCACACAGGATGGCAAAATAGAAAGGTGAAGGAAAAGGTACGTAAGTCATAGCAGCGTGGAAGGAGGGAAAGATGGCAGGATCTGCAAACAGGAATACACTTTTCCAGGCCTTGCCTCTAGAAGTATGTTTCCAAAAAGTCCCTACTTCCTAACACCACATTCAGATACTGAACATATCAATGAATGAATTCACCGATGAGAAGGCCCATGCAAATCAAACAATTTTCAAACTCATGTGACATTTAGGAGACATTTTAGATATAAAACAATACCTGGTCTGCTGCTGGGAAAAAAAGCAGGGCACCCAACACAGCAGTCTCACCCATGCAGAAATCTCATACATGTGTCGAGTCTTCCATCAACCCTCCCACTCACTGCATGGTGAGGAGTGGGGCTTTACCTGCTTATCACATGTGTATTGTGCACTATTTACTTGCACCGTCTGCCCCTTGTAAAGCTATCACATGCATTTACCAGGTGCTTCACACACCTAACAGATCTTTTTCCCTCTGCAGAAACAAAGGCAAAGAGCCTGACTGGCCTAGAGTGCACCATTCAGTGAAAGTTATTTTTATAAACCAGCTTACTTGTAAGTATGAGTACACCCCAAACCCACTGGACAATAAGCTGAGGACCCCCTACCTTGTAGCCCAGTCTGGTGCTAAGACAGCTTTTTTTCTGCATTTGTAATATTACAAATAAACTTTTGCATCACATTACTTCAATCCTAACTTTCTCATTTTCCATCAGAAGTGTTGGTTTTGAGCCAAGGGCAGTGGTTCTTGCCTCACTTCTTCCTTTCTTCATTGTAGTGAGGACAGAGGACCCAGAGAAAAGCGGGTCCTTATGGGCCACCCCAACCCCCTCAGAGGATCCCACCAGATACAAGTGGCGGCTCACCTGGAACTAAAGAAAAGTCCACTCAAGACCACCAGATGTGGTCAGTATACCCAGCCTAAACGGAGGTGAGCAGAGGTGGAACAACTGCCTTCATACTCACCTTTCTGTACTGGAGCACCCCCATCATTATTTAGCATAGTGGCATGTCTTTGGCTAGGCCTTTCATCAGAAATCAGAAGATCCTTGGTCCAGGGTCATGAGTGCCAATGACAACCATAATGGTGGCATTGTAGGCTTTCACTGCAGTATGCTCAGTGTTGGCAT